AACAGTTTGAGTGTTCTTTTCTGGGGAAGACCACCTGTCCTACTCCCATTCCCAGTGTTATGCAGTTGCCTGTAGTTCTTTGCATAGGGCTGAGGCCTAAGGTGCTTTTCCTCATCCAGGTTGGCAGATTCATTGCTGTCCTCCTTATTCAGCACTCATGTGGGCACTCATGTTGGTGAGACTTTTCAAGTATAGTTTTGAAGCTACTAGGAGACACAATCTCACAGAAAAAAACCCTGATCCTCTGTCTCTTATAATCTTCCTGCCACTTGTTCTACAATGTTTCTGACCTTTAGGTGTGTGAATGTTTTTTAGATGTATCCATTGGTACTAGGCTCCATATATCTGCATATTGATTGGTTGTGCCTGTCTTTAGTAGTCTGTCTTTTGCAAAGAGAAGATTTCTTAAGAAGGTGTAAAGACTACACTTATCTGTAGATATAAGGACGTCCTTAACTATATTTTTGGAAATTTCTTGTATGAATATAGTGAATTTTGATCATATTACACTCCCTGTCAAATTCATGTTGTTTTAAATTCTAAAACTATTATTGTTGTGTATCATATATTATCTGCATAATGTATTAGTGTCATCTGTCCAAAAAATGTATTTGTCTTTTGCCTGTAATTTTTTTAATTGTTATTTTTCTGGGTTTGACTTTCGTTTTTATTTTTGTTTGTTTGTTTCTTTTTTTTTAAAAGAGAGGATATAGAGTTGGGTGGTGTAGAGGTGGGGCATCTGGGAGGAACTGGGAGAGAGGGAAACATGATCTCCCTCTGTTTAGGCTATTAGCAATTTTCATTATAGAGGTCTTTAACTTTTTTAGTTAATTTTATTCATAGATACGTTTTTGGGCTTCTTAGCAAAGCTTACTGGTATATAGAAAACCTAACAATCTTTGTGTACTAAACTTATGATTGCAAATTTGCTGAACTAATCAGTTCTAATAGTCTTTTGGTGAACTCTAGGTATGTTCAGTATATAGAATGTTATTATCTACAAAGTGAATATTTGACTGCCTGTCTTCTTATTCATAACCTTTTGTCTCGCTTTTAAAAACAATGTTTGCTTTATCTCACATTTCCTCTCCCACACGACTTTGTTTGTTTCATTTGGCCAGGCACAGTCCTTCTCCCTTATGCAGCCTTTGATATCTTATGCTTTCTTATCTTTAATACTTTTTCATACAATATATTTTGATCATATTTTCCTTCTCTCTCAACTTCTCCCAGATCCCACCTCCATGCCCATCCAACTCTATGTATTCTCTCTCTCTTTTGGAAAAGAAAGAAACAGAAATGAAAACAAATCGAGAATCAAAACTAGAAAAAAAACACAATTAAAAAATATGAGCAAACGAGAAGATAAAAATGCCAAAACAAATAAAAAGGAAACAAAATGTCTACAAAAATACCTGTTGAGTTTATTTACTGTTGGCCAGCCACTCCTGGGCTTGAGGCCTATCCTAGAGTCTGGTTGATACACTCCATTGGAGAAAACTTTTTTTTTTTCTGTTAGCAATTATCAGTTCACTGGTTAGGGGTGGGACCCTGTCTGGCTTGAAACTGCAGGTCTTGGTGCATGCTGCTTCAGTCTCTGTGAGTTGTATGCACCAGCCCTGTTGTATCTGGAAGAGAATGTTTCTTTGGAGTTATTCATCACTCCTACAGTCTAACCTCTTTTCCCACTTAGATCTCTTAGCCTTGAGGGGAGGGGTTTGATCCCATTTAGGACTAAGTGCTCCAAAGTCTCTCACTCTTTATGCATTGTCTAGTAGTGGGTCTCTGGATTAACAACCATCTACTGCAGGATGCTTCTTTGGTGTGGGTTGAATGAGGCACTGAGCTACATAGTATTATGTTATTAGGAGTAATTTTACCACTATGTTCTTCGAACAGAAAAATAGTATTAGATTTTCCCTTTGTCCCTGGACCTTTCTAGTCTCACTCTATCTAGACATTTTGCCAGTGTCAGGTATCAGTTCAATGGTCCTTAAATCTAATCAAAAAGTGATTGTGTCACAATTACACCCATTTGTCTTACAGGCATTTTAGTTTTAGATCACAGAGTTTATAGAAGGTGATTTTGATGATTACCTTTCTCCTCTGATAGTGTTAATTTCAGGACCATGAAAACCAGTCACTAGGAGTGATATTTCTAGTTAGGCACTCAACTTTAACATGTTCAATCAACGCTTCCATGTTCAGTAGGCTGTATAAGTGTTATCTTAAGCAATAGGGCCTTACCACCAGGTGTAGCTTTGGTAATAGCTGTGATGTTTGGAGGCTTCTGCAGGTTCCTTTGGCCAATGTTTCAACAATATGTAAACTAGTCTCAGCACCAGAAATTGTACTTGGCGGCTTAAGATGTCTAGATGGAGCAGTGTCTCCTCCATTATTTGATGACTTCATTTAGATTCCTTTCATTCATTCATATATATACACATTTAGCTAATAATCACATAGAAGAAAAAACAGACTATTTGTCTTTTAGGGTCTGAATTTCATCAGGATAATTTTTCCTAACCTCATACATTTATCAGAAAATTTCATTTTTTAACAAGTGAATAATATTTCATTGTGTAAATGTATACATTTGCATCATTCTTTAGTTGATGGACATTTAGGCTGTTTCCAATTTCTGACTGTTACAAATAGATCAGCAGCAAATATGGATGAGCAAATATCTCTATAGTAAGACTTCAAGTTTTCAGGTTTATTCTCAAGACTTGTATAGCTGAATCTTGAGGCAGATAAATTCCTAGCATCCTGAGTAACCAGCCCACTGATTTCCTTAGTGGCAGCATCAGTTTGGGCTCCCAAAGGCAATGAGTAATTATGATTACATAATCATGTCTGTGCGTTGATATACGCTTGTGAGCACAGCTGTCCTCAGAGGCTAAGAATGCATCAGATCTCAGAGAACTGGAATTTAAAAGTTGTGAGCTACATTGTATGGTGCTGGGAACAGAAATTTGGTCCTATAGGAAAGCAGTGCACATTTTCACTGCTGAACCATCTCTCTAGCCCCATTCTGTCCTTTGCTTAACCTCTGTCGAAAATTTCTAATAGTGTTTAATAATGGTAAAGTGGACACCTTGCGTTGCTTTTGATCTTAGATATTTTTCTTTACCATTTCATGCTCATTGTTTGTTTATTAAATACAATGTTTACATGTTGAATTATAATAATTTCATAGTTAATCTATTCAGGGATTATATCCTGAAGGGATCTTGAATTAATTGAATGTTTTCATTCTTCATCCATTGAAATGATTGAATAGTTTTTGATCTTTTGCTTAATTTGCATGTTATGATTTTGTGTTATATTTTGAGTGGATGGATTTTAGGTTATTATCTAGGTAAAGCTCTGTGAGTGTTATAAAATATTCCAGTAGGTAGGATTGTCCACATCTATGGTGGCAGAGTTTTGTAGGACTCTCACTCTTACTCTGCAAAGGCCACAACCTGTATGTGACTACAGAATACCAGTTGCCTGAAGTTGTGGAGCAGATAACAGAATCTTTGTTTCTCACTGTGCTTCTGTCCCAGGTCTCTGACTCTTACAGTATTTCACTCTATGTTCTTCCATAACCACTCACCTAAGAATATATCTAAGCCTGCTGTTCTGGGTTCTTCCTTGCAGAAGAGATGATGGCATGATACCTCAATTTCACCAATTTGAAACATCAGGGTTAGTGGTTTTATATACTCACCCAGGGATTTCTCTTTAGTTTGAATTACACAACAAAGGTAAAGAAAACAGCTTTAATTAGGGGAAAAGAGGAGTAGAACATAAAATTATTCTTAGGAAATTGTTGGTTTTTTACTAAATATTCTTTGATTGGTGTTTTCTTTGAAACTACAAACTTGCAGAAAAAAAGCTCTTACCTAGTTTTGACATTCTGAACATTATCACTGGTATAATAGGAGTAGTAAACTTTCTGCTGAAGTTAATGTCTTGTATATATACAAATTCATGAATTTTCTCCTACTTGGGAATGTACTAATTGCTTTTATTCAAAAGGAAATGCAAGGTTCCCATAACCTCTACTGTCATGGATATTTTTATTGATGTATTTGACAAGAGAAAATCTATAACAATAAATCTTATTCCCAGAGCTTGTAATATATTAGGAAATGGTCACTTAGAATTATATTTAGTGTTGGCTGTGTTGAAAGTGATTAATTAAAAGATATTCAGTTAATTCAGTATAAAATATTTCTGTAAATGACATGGTCAGTAATTGAAGGGAGAACAGGACTAGAGGTGGTTGACGTGTTGCCTTCTCATTTAACTCTATTGTTAGCATTAGAGTACTTTAGAAAAAAATGTACACCTGACCTTTTTGCAGGGAGTTATGTTTGTAGAGATAAAAAGAAAAAAAGACAAAAATATATATTCAGATGAAACATTTATTAGCAACTTTAATCCAATACAATTTTCTAATTCTTCTATCTAGGAAATCACAATGATAAATTCATTAGTAATACAGAGTACCAGTGGTGACACAAAAGATAAACTATTATGAATCCCCACCCAGGAAACAATCAAATTCTTTGTTCAGGACATGCAATGTATTATAATATTACAAGAAAAAGTCTGACTTCTAAAAGTATGTCCTTTGCTTCTTGGATAGGATCTTAATCATAAATTAACACAACATGTGGGAAAACCAAATGATTGCCTCATATAAGACTTAAATGTTCATTTTAAATCCCAAAACACCAAAATCATAAATATCTTAATCATATATTTCTGACTATAGTTCAAGTACTTTTTACTTTTTTCATTTACTTTCTTCTATCCAAGAAGCTCAATGACTATGAAGTCCTACAAACAGATCTTGCACCAAACAACATTAAAATAGTAATACAGTTAATATGAAATATACCACCTACTGCCAAAATAAGGAATCATTTTAAATGTTTTGTTTTACTAAGCATCTTCTTTCTTCTTGGGCTTAGTACTTATGGTTTATTATATTTTATACTGGTTTTTCATTCAAAGTAATAGGATTTCTGTTCATGGCCATATGTATATAGTGGAGTGTTGCTATCTAAGTAGGTAGAACCTGAGTTCATTTCCCCAATTTCATGGTTACCTCTGGTTCATCTCTTCTTGTCATTTAAAATCGATTATGTTTTCTGATGGTCCTTGATTGGTTAGATCCTGGCTCCTGTCCTTGTCTTCCCACACCCAATATGGTGGTACTTTGTAAATATATACACTCTTCAGTTTCAGTCCAGTATAGTCTGGGAGAAGAGTTATTGGAAGAAGATACTTGTTTTCACTGTTGCTGTCACTTGACAGCTGGTAGCTATCAATTGATTTGTTATGGCTATATACTTGCCTTTCATTACGGCTGACTCCGGATTGATTACCAAGTGAATAGGATTCTGAATGATTCTGAAATAATATGTATTGCCCATGGTCAAAACCAGTCTGGAAAGGGGCTGCCTTTGAGTAATTTGTTGTTTTCCTTTATTACTGTACTCGTATTTAAAATCAATGTAACTTGAAAGTTCAGGTATTACCAAAGAACAGCCATGACTTCACCCATGATCTCTAGGAGTACTGGACTCAGAGATGGTAATAATCAACTTACTGAGTAGGACATGTTTGTGACTCTCTGTATTTAAAAACTTCCCAACAACTCCTTCATTTAATTTGGATCCTATATGATCAGAAAGAGAAAGACTGTCCACATCTTGAGACTTGCATATATGTGGCTCTATATGTTGACTTCAAAGGAATAGAATTCAGTGTGATAGCTTTCCTGCCCGCAGAGGGTCCATACCCTGACTGCCCATAGTCATAGTCTTCACTGCCATAGCTGCCATGTATCCAGTGTTGATTGGAATCATATTGGTTTCCACTGAAAGGAGACCGAAAATGCTTATATCCAGACTGGCAAGGTATTCTACTTGATTGTTTACAAAGGCCGTGTCTTGGATGCCAATGAGTACTATGTGACACATGAAGAGGAACATGAGGTGAGCCATGTTCCCCATGAACAGACTCTCTATGTTGATGTCCAGAATGCCTCTGACTGGATTCAGAATGTCTGTGTGAGACTATTGAATGTTCTTCACGCTTAGCGGACTCAGGGTGGACTGGTGACCTTGGATGTCTACCAGAACCTGATGGTGAAGGCTGTTCTTGGCTTGACTGAGGCTGTCTACTGCTGTCCTGAAACGGTCCTTGAGGTGTTCTACGTTGCCCTATAACTGACTCTCCATGTTGATGCCCAGCAGGACTGTGACTGGACTCAGAATGTCTGTGTGAGACTACTGAGTGTTCCTCACCCTCACTGGACTCAGGGTGCACTTGTGATCTCCTTTGGTTTCTACGAGAACCTGATTGTGAAGGTTGTTCTTGGCTTGACTGAGGCTGTCTACTGCTATCCTGAAATGGGCCTTGAGGTGAGCCATGTGGCTCCTGAACAGATCCTGTCTCTTGATGTCTGCCATGTCTTTGACTGGATCCAGAATGTCTCTGTGCGACTACTGAGTGTTCCTCACCCTCACTGGACTCAGGGTGCACTGGTGATCTTTGATGTCTACCAGAACCTGATGGTGAAGGCTGTTCTTGGCTTGACTGA